TGGATATTGTGTTGTTTGTTCTTCTTGAAATGTTTGTTCAAATGCTAAACATATATGATTTTCATAACATAAATTTTCTCCATGACCAAATTTTTGTAAATCATAAGTTTCTTTTGTACCACCAACAATAGAACATGTTATTGTCTGTCGAAGTGTCGGTTCATCCCATGCATAATCAATCGATTGATGTGGTTGAATAAATGCACGTAAATAAGTTAATTCTTCTCGTGTTTCACTTTGATAAAATTGTATAGGAACATCAGATAGATTACTAACACGAAGAGGTGCTGGCATTTGATTGGAATCCATGAAAACAACAAAAAATGTACCACCACGTTCAATAACTTGTACTCTAAAATGTAGATTTTCAATAATTCATACAATAGAATGTAAATCTTTAAAACAAAACAACAAAGTAGAATCATACATATCTCTCTATCCTATTCATTACATAAGATGTGTAGCTGAGTTATACATATATGATAATTATTCTGCTTATACCACATCTATCTAATCTTACCTTAATATTAAACATTGATTATTATCATATCTTAAATTAATATGAAATGCATTAACACGATCAATTAAAAAACCACCGGACCAATAAACATGTCGATATTGACTATTATTAATAACACGAACACATAAAAGTTGATCGAGATCACTTCTTGGCCAATGATAAGCAACTAATGAATTTTTTAACACATTTAAACAATTTTGTTCTAAATTACTATGATCACCCGTTTGTAACATAGCCCGAACAATATGTCGTTGTGCAATGGATAAATCATATGAACATTGATTACTTATCATATATCGTGTACTCAAAAAAATAAAATTTGTTCGACGTAAACGTCCTTTACCTTGTCGAACATCAATTCCAATATAATAAATCCAATCAGGTGAACCATGAGGAGAACGAACATGTAATTGACGATAACTTGAACCACGTTCTAGAAAATAAATATTTTATATAGAATGAAGATGATTTTTTTGAAACAAATTGTTTTACCTAAACTAAAACGTTGTGACCATAATGGACGACCATCATCACTTTTATGTAAACCTGAACCAACTTTCATAACACAAGCATGAGAAGCTTCTGAATCACTATATGAAAATAATAATGGTTCACGATTTCGAGCTAATTCATGTTCATGTGTTTGACTAGCTGCTTCATTTAAAGAACCATCTTGTTTAAAAATCAATGGAATACCTAAATAAAACAAAATTATTCTAAAGATTCAAGTTAATATTAGAAAATGACATACCACTTTTGTTAAGTAAAACATAAGGAACAGAAACAGATATTTTTAATCGATGTCGAATCGAACAAACAATAGTAACATCAACTAATAACATTCGTTGAATACTATCATATAAAATCACTTTTTGATGATGATATTTCATAAGATTTAAATCATTTATTGATGGTACATGTAATGGTTTAGTCATATTATAAATATCTGTCGCAAAAAAAATATCAATAGCTTGACCTATATTTAAAGTATGTTCACGATGAGATTTATATGGATTAAGTCGAACTTTTTGTGGATGTGAATGTATTTGAAAAAATAAATCACATGGAAGTAAATTATTTATAATTAATGGTGGTAATATTGATAATTGATATGCTGATAGAATATGTTCTCTAAATGCAAGTAAACGTGTTCGTTTTGATTGTACACATAAATAATAAACTGAATCATTTCCATTTATAAAACATGTACGAAAAAATGATAAGCGATCAGTTGAATTTATATCGCGTTGACGTTGTAAAGAATTTGTTTCTGCAGTTGAAGTATTTTCATCACTAAAAATAGAAATAATTTAATAATTCTAGTCTTTTCAAATCTATTTACTTTTCATCATTTGGTTGTCCTCTTCGTCTTTGTTCATTAGAAATTTCCATCCAATTAATAGGTTCACCACAATAATTAAATGCAAAATCTGCTGGTCGTACTTGAAATTGTCTTATAGTTGGACAAAATTGTAATGGTAATGAACGAATTTCATTTGGTTCTAAACGAATATCATGTAATGAACCTGATCCACATTTTAATCGAACATCAACAGATGTTAATAATTGATTACGTATTTCAATAGCCGATCGAATTGTTATTGAACGCATTGAACTATCTGTCATAGTTACATCAATAAAAACAAGTACCGGTTTTTGTAATCGATCACCTGATGGTAAAGCAAGTCGAAAAAAAGTTCCAACACGATCAATTGATATCGGTTGTAACCATTCCCAACCTTCAATTTGTATTAATAAACGTCGATCAGAATAGGATGATGATGTTGATGATTGTATATCTTTAATTGTATTAACTTTTGTTCCTGGTGTTATTGTTGTTTCGCTGGGAAATATAAATGATTTTGTATCATTATATTCAACAATATGATCATTTAAATCAAAACGTTGTTGTGTTGATAACCATGTACGAAATATAACACGCTGTCCAACAAGATTTTTAAAACAATATGGTTCGAACGGTTTTGGTCGACGAAAATACATATGTTCTTTACTAATATCATTTGTATTATAATAATCTTCAAGCCAATTATTTTTAACTAAATCATATAATTGATGCATTGTTTTCGTATAATTTATATTTAATAAATGATTTGAACAAATAGCTAATGATGTTAAATTATCCGATGTTTTTAATGTTACTTGTAATGACCATAATTCAATAAATGGTTCATATCCAGATAATAAACGATTATAATAATCAATATTAAATTGTAAATCAGCTTGTTGTAAACGATATGTTTCATATTCAATAATATTTAATTTTATTGTTTTAAATGTTAAATTTAATAATGGAATATTTGCATTAAGACAATCGTCAATTAAACAAAGACTTATTTGTTCACATGAAAATTTCAGTGAATGAATATTTAAAAATAATTTCGAAGTTTTTTCATTCTTATTTTGTATCAATGATATTTGTCGTTGTTGTTGTTCACTAATAGTTGGTGCTATTGTTGAACGAATACGAAAATCAACTTGACTATCTTCCGGACAATATTCGATTAATAGTTCATTATCAACTGATACACGACGTGCTGGTTGATAAATTTTATACTCCGGTATTATATCACGTGATTGTGCTTGATGAACTTGTTTTGTTATTGATTGAAACATATATAACATTAATTTAACATCGGAGTATGATAAACGTATAAATAATTGTGGTAAATTAACTTCAAATACACGTTGTTCATTTGTTTGTGATAAATGTATATTAAAATTAATATTAATTGGTTCTATGATTGATACAGCTGTTGATTGTATATTATTCATTTGACATGAAAATAAAGTCATACTGAATAAATTACAATCTAATGGACGTCTTTGTTGTGATTCTCGATATGTTAAATTCATCATACCACTTAAAACAAGTGCATTCGATTGAGAATTATTTGTTGTTTGTACAAGTAAAAGTTCTGATTGATTAAAATTTAAACGTAATTCAAAAAGTTTTTTTGTTTCAACTGGTATTGTCATAGATTGAATTGGATTTGTTTGTTGTGGAATTTGTTGAAATGAATTAAGAAAATCTTTTAATTTAAGTAACCAATCAATAATAAATAATATTCTTGTATGATTTAATACAATTGTATATTTATCATCAGTTTTTGATGTAAATAAATGTATTTCTAATTGCATTTGACTTTTACTTGTTGCCATTGATGATGATGATGTAAGTATATCACGAAATTGATTTGTATTCTCAATTCGTGTATCAGTTAATTTAATCGATGAACATGTTAAATCAAGTACTTGATTGTTATTTGAATATTTTTCAAATGAAAAATTTGATTTTAAAAATGCACAATAACCTAATGAATAACGTTTAGAATCATTTGGAATATATATTTCAAACCCGACATTATCCATTTGAATTATAAATATCATATCAATATAAACATTACCAGTTAAGATTGTTGATACACATAATGGATCATCAATCATCATTGCTGGTCGTGTTGGTTGTTCTAATTGTTCACCAATATTATATGCAAGTATACCACGAATAAGTGAATATTGATATGTATCAAGAAGTATATCAATTGAGAAAAGATCAGCTTTAATACTATATGTTGGTGATGAATGATTTAATGAACTATCAAGATTACGTTCAATATGAATATTAAAATAACAACGTTCACGTAACATTGATGATATATCATCACGTATTGTATGAAAACCAAAATTAGTAAATTTAACTGTGGGTTTTATATTTGTATCTAATTTACAATATGTAGCTGAATAAAGTAATGTATCTTGAAATTGAACAGATATAACATCGAGTAAACAATTAGATTCTTTTGGTTTATTCAGAATTGAACTTAATGTACCTGGTTCATTATCGAAAAGAAAACGATTTTTTATAATTATATTTCCAAGATGAAGAATAATAACAGGTTTATTAAGTGCATATTCAGGTAAAATCAATATTGGACTTTCAGCTTCTATATCAAGTTCAATACCTGTTGATCGTCCAGCTGAACATGATATAGTTTGTCCAGCTGCTGCTGATCTTATACGATTATAACAATCTTGATCATGTTGAAAACGATCAAAAAAATGAATAAGATCCATTAGAAAACGTTGCGTATGAATATATTGAACGGATGTCATACGTAAATAAAGTTGTAAACGTGATGGAAAATTGGATGAACTTATTGGTATAAGATCTTCTTCTTTTGTATATGTAAATAAAAGTGCATTTGTACCACTTGTACAAAAACGTTCTTCATATAATTGACCAAATAATGATAAATCATGAATTGAAACTGAACCAAGTTTACCATTAATAATAAGTGTTTTTATGGCTTTTTCAATGGTAAGAAAATTTTGAATTTGACAATCGAAACGTTGAAGTGAAATATTTATTGGTGGAATATGATCATCTTGTAGAAGACAAGATACAGCATCAATATGAATATTTATTTGCATAAAATCAGTATCGGATGTTGAAGTAAATTCTTTATTTTCTCGAATATCTAAATAAATTCGAATTTAATATATGAAAACACTTCTTTTTTGTCTTTGTTTACCTGTAGTTGTTGATGATGGTGTACCTCCAATTAAACCAATAATATCAAACAACATAACCCATGTTGAAATAATAAATTTAATATTAACTTCACCAAATTGTGCATCGGCAATAATATTAAATCCATTGTAATTTTCATGTTTTTTATCCATTAATGTTATATTTATATCAATAAATGATGGTGTTGTTGATATTGTAGCTGTTCTTATCGATGATGTTGATGATGCTAATGTCCATGTTGAACTATTCGTTGATTCCATATATGCTGGTACTGAATTTGAAGCATAATCATCATGTATTTGATATTTTTCTATTGGAACTGATGATGACATCATATGATCATTACGAAAATAATTTGACGATGAATTTTTTCGACAACGTGTTGAAAAAAGACATTCATCAACTTTAATTAAATTATCATTAATATGTAGCGAATTAAGTTGAAGTGAAATATTTTTACAAAATGGATGTAATTGTTCAATTGACATATGAAATTGTCCAAAACTTGCTTCACATACTTTCGTTGGTTTCAAATCTAAATCAGATTGAAATGCAAGAATTAATTCTGGTAATTGAAAATGTATTGCAAATGTTTTAAATTTTGTTTGTGTTGTTGTTTCATTTAATGGAAGATTTATTTCTTCTTCATCAAATAATAATAATGATTCTTCATCTGTCATATTTGTATTTGGTGTATCGACTTGATCATTTTCATTATATGTCAATGAACTAATTATATTTTGTAATAATGTTATTTGATGTTTACCAAGAAACATTTGAACAGATGAAACTAATTTCGAATCAATTGTTGTTGATGTATCAGTTAATTTAAGATTAAGATGAATAGATATATTATCAAGTATAGGTAATGGTGAACGAGGATTTTTATACATTCGTATAAGATTTACTCCTTGACTTTGACGAAATTCATGTTCAAGATCAACAGAAAATAAATTCAGATCATTAATTTTTATTTCATAAATTGATGAATGATTTTCAGAATTTTCAACATGAATATCACCGAGATGAAAGACGAGTCGAGCATTTGTTGAAACTGATTTTGATTGAGGACGAAAAATTAAAATTGGTGTAGCAAGAACAATACTTAAATTTAATTGACGAGTTGGTTCTACAGTTTCGAAAACTAAATTAAATTAAGAAATACAAATTTTTATTAATAACATACATCATAAATCGAAAACAAGCTGATCTGAAATATTTTCAATTTTTTACTTGACCTCGATCTTAAAAATATATCGATGGCTAGAATCAGTCAGTTGAAAGTTTTTTCGAATAGCATAACTATTAATAAAGTGTCTACTAAACTGTATAGATGCTTGCTCAGTATCTGATTTGTTTTTGTTATGTTTATTTATGAAAAAATCAATATTCTCTTATATTAGTTTAGAACGTAAAAATAAATATCGACATATCAAACTTTATTACTCAGCTATTAGATTCGTTGTTTTAGTTTGAAAGAACATGTATGTTTTCATTTACTTCATTGATATTAATTGAAAATTTTACTGTAGTTAATAATATTATAAAATTAATATCAAAACTATATTCTTTAAAATCCAATATAAGTCACAATATGGATTTAGTAAAAAAATAAAATTGAAAAAAAATGTTAGTTTACAAACTATTGCATAAGAACATTGAAAAATTTTGTTAGATAAAGCCTTTGGATAATTGTATAAATATTCATTCTGACAAACAGCAAAACAAAAAAGACTAAATCAGCATTCTACAGCGGAGAAATAATGGTTAATATATAAATAATTGACTATTATCTTATATAATAAAATATAATATTTCTTGATAATCTTACTAGATTCATTTGGATGAACATATTGATTAAGTAATATAGATCCTTGTTTAATCATATTTTGTTTCATTTTTTCCATTTCAATAGCTATTTTTGAATGACAATGTTGAGCCATATAATTAAGAATTGTTTCAATTTTAAAAATAATTTTTGGTGAATGTGTATAACAAACTGAAGCCATTTCAATAACTAAATCCTCAATACCATTATTATTATCTGTATATACAAGATGAAATGCTTTACTAGGTAAAACTTTGTCTTGATTCGTATATTTTTTATCTTCAATTCCAAAATCAATAATAGCACTTGATTGTTCATTATGTGTTATAATTGATGTATCATGTAAAAGATTAAATATTTGTAAAGCACATATTTCCGCTTCAATCATTGTTGATGGTTCAAGAAAAATATTACATGATGCTTGTTTTATTCTAGCTGCAGCTATTTTTTCAAGTTTAGTTCCCAAAACTCTTCTACCTATAGACTTTATTGTTATAACATTTGTAAATAAAATACTTAATTCTTGAAATTCACTATTGATTTGAAATCTTGTTGTTCTTTTCTTTTCAATTCTCGTTATTATTTCATTTTCTTCTTTAATACTATTTTGTCGAAGAAGTGTTTTCATACGATAAATAATATTAACAAAAAAATTTGTTAATATTGATAATGTTTCAGGATTAAATAGAAAATGTAATTTATTAACATGTATATCAACTGTTAAACAATTTTCATTTGTTTGTATATCAGTTGCTGATTGTATATTAACACGTATTAAATATTCATCTTCAATATTTGATAAATATTTATTTGATTCATATAATGTACCTGTTTGAGTATTTATATCTAATGCACGATTACTTGTTAATATTAATTCATAATCTTTTCCATGATTTTGTAAAGCATCAATAATCATTAATGTATGTACACTAAATGAAACAATATTTGAATGAACATGATTCATTAATGTTAAATCAATATTTTGTATGCGTATTTCTGTTAATGCACGTAAATCATCGCTTAATTGTATACTTATTTCATTAATACGAAAACCAAGTGCTAAACGTGCACTTAATTCATCAATAGTCTTTTTATTTGTTGTTATATCAGATTGTGATACAATTGATGAAGTTAAATTTTCAATAAATGATCCCCAATTATTAATTGTACCACATAATATTTCAATACAAGATGGATCAAGATGTATAATTACTTTTGGTAATGTACCTGAAACCTTTATCAATGGCCATAATGGATCAAATGTTTGTACTGTTCGATATTGAATTAAAAAACAAACACCAAATTTTTCAATAATAGATGAAAGATTATTTTTTGATTGATTATCTGTATAAGTTAAATAGCCAAGTTGCATATCACATAATGATAATGAAAATGATGAATATATAAGATCTTTTGTATCATTTGTAGGGGATAAACTTTGTTCTCTTGGAATGATATTAACGGGATAATTTGTTGTTTCTGTTTCAGGTAAACCATCAGTTGCTAATGGTGAACTATCAGGTGTTAAAAATTCTTCATCATCATCTTCAATAATTGCTGATGAAACAGGTGATGTGCGTTGTTCATTGAAAAAATATGGACGTTGTTGAAAATAATTTGTTATTGGTGATGGTGATGTTGAACCCGTATTATGCATATCACAGTTTTTTAACGGACACGAAGATTTTTTATATTCATCATTGATAAATGTTAAATAACCAAAATCAATAATTAGAGCACGATCAGATGATTGAGGAATAATCATTTGTGGTGCACAAATATCAAGATAGATATCAAATCTCTTTTTATATCTTCTTTGACCTTGTTTGATATGTTTTACATTTGATGAAGTCATTTTAGTTGATGTTATTGGAGAAAAGATTTGATCAATGGCAGATTTTAATTGTTTAGTTGTACGTTCTTTTAACTGTGTCCAATGTTGAAGAATTGATGATGATGGCGATGATGATGATGTTGGTATTGATGATGGTTCAGTAAATGCAGATGAGAAATAATTACGTAGACGTTCAACTGATATAGGACAACAAACAAAACAAAGACCACGACTACGAATAGCAATGGCAAATGAAAGTCGTTTTGTTTTTGATTCTCGTCCTGGAACATTTGTTTCATATGATAATTCAAAAACTGGAGCACGTTGTGCACCAACAGATGAACTAAATCAAATAAAATCATTAATAGAAAAAAAATGAATTTATTTTCAAATTTATAATCAATATTTATAGAATCAAAATTTTCAAGAGGCACAGTTAATCATACAGAAATCTATTTAGTTCTTGTCCATGGCTAAGAAAAGGAAATTAGCATTTGATAACTTTCGTCAGTTGGCGAATGTCCAGTGTGGGTTCACAACTCTTTAAAAACTGTATCATAACGATCTTTATACACTTTAAGCCTTCTAGCTAAAGAGTTTAAAATCGAAAAGATCCAGACGCTTGGCTATAACTTCGAAAGCCATAGCAAAATTGGAGTCTTGTAAGAACTATCATGAGATCTTTGTTTTCGAGAGTAATATAACCTGTCGATTACAAAAATCTCTACGGATTACATTGATATCTGAAGGCAACAAGCTGTATTCTGACACTTATATATGTCCTGCATTCATATTTTTTTGAAAATAATTATCATAGTTCATCGATTCTTTGACAGATGGCGAAACTCCGATTCAACGAATATTATCAAATATTATTAAAATAATTTACTCTTGTGATCGTTGTTTTGGACAAACAATATTTGAAAATGCATCTGTTCTTAATCGATCACAAATATTTAAATCGTCTAATCGTAAATAAAATAATATTGATTGATGTCTTGGTCTTAATTCCGTTAATACAGATACATTATTCAATGAAAAATTAAAAAGGACTTCATCATTCGATGATAAATCAATTTGAACAGATTTCAATACAAATTTTAAACGTAAATATAAAGCATCTCGACGATGTTGTGATAAATCTTCATCTTCTAATGATTGAGCTATAAAAGTATTGACTTGTTCTTGTAATTTTTCATCATTTTCATTCAATGGTATTATAGGTGTTGTACTTGAAATAATTGCTTGATTAATATCAGTCGGTGTTGTTGTTTTCCATAGATCAACTGTTTTTGAACTAATCCACTTAGCATAACTCATATACCATGAACCTGTTGCATCATTATTTGCTGTTTGATTTTGATTATTAACTAAACTAAATTTTTCATTAGCACGTTTACGAAATATAACTCGACGAATTCGAATTAAACAATCAAGATTAAAATCCATTTCAATTTCATTCATAATTAATCGATCTGCTTGAGTAAAATTATTTATTGTTGAACGTTTTAAATATTTATTATCAAGATATAAACGATATAAACGTTTATATGTTATTAATTGTGTTAAACGTTTATTTAATATATTTGAATTAAACCAAAAATTTGTAGTTGTATGTGTTTGTTCATTTGAAACAGGTGTTTTTAAATAATTTTGTGTTCGTATAAGAACTAAAGTTATATATCGCCACCATAATTTAGCTGATTGTTTAGATATTTTCATATGTGGTCGACTTGGATCAGTTATAAATTTTCTATGTGTATTTGAATATTGTATAAAACGAGTAACATCAGATAAAATTTTAATATGTTCAATACTTGATTTTAAACTTAAATCATCAAATGTCCATTCAAGTTCATAACGTGGTTGTCGACGATTAACTAATGCTGAACGTAAATAATTATGTGTTAAATAAATTTTTATTGAATTTGATGGTAATAAAATATATGAATGAACAGATGATGATGATGATTGATCTTTATTCGTATTTGTATCAGCATAAAGAGCAAGATTATGTATTTGAAAAATTTTCCTATTCATATTTTCATTAGATAATTCATTTGATATTTGTATATTATCAAATGATAATCCAACTGTATAAGGTGTATTATCAGATGTAAAACTTTCATAACTTATATGTACATCAATAATTTGTACTTGAATTTTTTCTAAAAATGATAATATTAAACGTTTTAAACTCCATGATGATGATTTAACTTCTCCAAGAAATTCAAATTCTTTTTCTAATTGTTGTTCAGATAAATCTAAATGATTTTGTTTTTTTAATATTTCATCTTCTTCAATTGATTCTTCTGTTTGATTATCATTATCATCAAGAATAATTGGTTTTATAATAGCACGTACATGTTCAACTTTAATAATAAATGCTGCTGATGATGAACGAAAAAATAATGAACTCCAGACAAATGAACATTGAATTTTACCAACATGTAAAGATTCAATTTCAATAGGTAATTTTAATTTTGTTCGAATATCATTATTAAGTTCAGTTTTATTAAATGTTAAATTTTCAACAACAATAGGTCGACCATAAAGTAATTGAACAGATAATTGATCAGCATTTATATCAACATAACGAGCAACATAACCTTTCAATAATGAGGCTATAACTGCTTCAAACATGCGAAGAAATTAAATAAATTAATCCAAAAGTTTTATCTACAATATGTAGACCATATATATTTTCACTATGTGATGTTTTTTTTTAAATATCAACAAGAATACATATATATTCAGAAAAGCAAACTATATGTTTATTTATTCATATTAATAGGATAAACGAACAATATAAAGAGATATAAGACAATATATATATATATATGTAAGTCAAGTGTAAAAGGCACTTGTTTTTTTTTCAAAAAAAAACCTGAGAAGAAATCTGATTACATAAACACACACAAAGATATATATATATTACACAAAAACTGACAACAAAATGGACTTATACATCTGACAAAAAACGAATACCCATATTCGTTGGAAGATTCAATTCACACAGATCTACTCATAGTAATAACAATATATGTATAAAAACCAAAACAACAACAAAAAGTTGATTTTCAATCAACAAACTATAGTACAACAAAAAAAAAGAGAATGCATTCTATTAAGGACATTAAGTTATATTTCATTATATTATTTAGCCTTGATTAAGTTTTGATATTTCAATTTCTTCACGAATTGCTTCTTCATAATCGCGTAATTTTCTACCATCTTTTATATGAGCATAATTAGCCACAAGACAACAAAGAAAATGAATCTAAAATAATATTAAATATAATGTCTATTTTACACAAGCAAATATTTATATTCTTACCAAACCCATAACAACAAAAAATGAACCAATTAAAGCTGCTAAATATTGTGGCGTATATTCTGTCTATAAGAAAAACAAAATCATTTTCTATACATATTTTATCAAACAAAAAACAATTCTTACCAATGTGCACAGCTCATTAAATCGTTGTTGACAAACTTTTGCATCAGGTTTTTGTTTTGGTACAGGAATTCCATATGTTCCTGGTGTAAGACATAATGCTGGTGAAGCCGTATTTGGCCAATCAGATGGTGTTGGTACTGCCCATGCTTCTATACAACGATGTTTAAGGATATATAATCCAATACATGGTACAACTAAAGATAACATTGCAAATAACCAAATAAGTAATAGACCATAGACAATCATAGAAAACTAAAATATATTTTTCATTGAATTTTAGTTTATCATTACTTTTCATTGACTAAAACTTACGAAACCCGTTGCAATACGACCTCCAAGACGAGAACGAAATCCTGTATAAATTTGATGACGCGTAGCACCTGTAGCTAATGATCCAACGATAAGTAAAATCATTGAAAAACCACCCATGATTGCCAAAACAAAAATAACAGCTAGACGTAAAATTCGAATCCTTTATAAATAGCAAAACAAATCAATAGATTTAGTATTTTTTTATTTAATAATTTACCAATCATGATCGATATATTCTATTTCAAATACATTATTAATATGTTCAATTGTTGCTCGTAATGGATAATAAAGACATCCACAACAAATACCTGTACCCGTTAATGTTAAAATAAATGCAAGTAATGATGCAAATGGACAATTTCCACAACAACGAAGAAAACCTATATGAAAAATTTATAAAAATATTTCTCAAACTATTCAAATCATATAAACTAACTATTTTGCTTATATTTTACATCCGACATTGTTCGTTCTGACCAAAGTTCTCTACTTCTGTCAGCAAAACGGCTCACATCACCTATTAACAAAGCAAATAAAACAAGAAAAATAATTTATTTTAATACATACGATCATGAACTACCATATTACAAGAATCAAATTTCAAAAAAAAGAATAGGAATTGAGTGGTAGACACGAACAAAAAGATCTGATTATATCACCGAAAGAATCAAACGAACGAATGTTGACAGATAGACAGACTGAGTAAACAAGCAATCACATAAGCATGCACATACAGAAAGACAAAGAATGTCATTGGTGGAATTTTCCATCCACTGATATTCGATGTAATTTCAGACGCTCGCTCTATATTATTTTCTTATAGAGACGCTACAGTTGTTATCTGACAAAAAAAAATATTCTTGGCGACAAGCTTATAAAGACGTTGTCGTCATTATTCATCATTCTTTGCTTTTTTTTTCGGAATTGGATCGTATATATCCATTGAAAATCTATCAATGGACGATTCAATAATAATAAACAATGATGATGATAATGACACAACCGATCGTTCAGATGAAATAGTTACTGATATGATCTCATTAATACATTCGACAACACATTCAAGTTATGTTACATGTTCTCAATTATCATCGAAATTAATTTCATATTTATCTCAAATACGTTTTAATGATAATCAATGGAATGATCTTGAAAAAGCTGTTGAAGTAATTTTATTTTTTATTAATTTAATAAATTTTATCGAAAATTATTTTTACAGCGTTTTGATCAAAGTGATGATCATCCAGATCTTCGTCGTTTTCGACAATTAATTGAAACAATTAGTACCTGTTCCAATGATTGCGAAGAACGAAATTATACATTAGGACGAGATGCCAATGCACTATTTGAAAGTATTTGTCAATTACAAGAGTTATTGGTAAGAAAAAAAAAAGAAATAACAAAAAAATATTTTTTTAATTAAAAAAACATAAATTTATAAGAGCTTGAAAGACTTGTCACAATAGGTAGGTAATTGAGATAATCCACTGTCTGTAAGATCTATTTCCGGCAAATAACCACACACAGGATTTCTAATCCAATAGATGCATACTTCTTCTTCTTTTTCTATAGAACAAGGCCTCAAAGGGAATTAGTTTTTCTTGTTTAAGTCTATCGTACACGTCATAATAAATAAGATTTTGCTTCGAAGAATGATCACGAGAGTGTTCTTTACTTACTATGTTTTAGAATAAAAATTGTTTGAGGTGACTAATGTCTATTATTATATTAATTAATAATACAAAAATTTGATTTGTCGTTCTATACAAGCTATAAAAAGAAACTTATAATAAAATCTTACTAATTTTATTTTCTAGCAATCTCATGTGAATCTCAATTGTACTTTACTTTCGAAAGTAATTCAACAGAAAGATATACGATTACTTTTAGCCGATCTAATGAATTTGACTGGAATGGTTAGTCATTAATTTTACTTTTATTTCAAATTAGAAACTAATTTTTTTTGTACGATTAGAATGTTGGTCATCAAATACATGGTATTCTATGTAATATAGTACATCTTTTATGTCAAATTGATCAAATGTTTTCCATATCAAATGTAATTGATCATCCAATAGTATCAAATTGTATTCGAATCATTCAAACAAGTATTAATAATATTTGTTCCACAGGTGTTTAAATATAATGCATGTGTATGTAGCCGCTTTTGTTAATGTTTCTTTTGTATATCGCTCATGCTTAATAATTCATATTTTCTCACCATGCAACTGCTTATATTATGAATAGAATTAATATAAAAAATTTTAGGTGAAAATACAAAATCGACGGTGATTTCTGCTCTTCGTCTTCTTACAGATTTACTTCTAACAAATGAACCATTTCCGGTGCATAGTTACGGTAAAATAATTTTGTAATTATTTATTTATTTATTTATTTATTTATTTCATTATTTATTTAGGTCAATTATCAAATTGTGTATTTTTAAAAAGTATATTTGATTTAATTGAAAATAATGGTGAAGATGATGAATTAGTATTAACATTAATTAAATTTATTTTATCACTTAATTTACGTTTTGATTATCCACATGAAAATCCAATAATGTTAACATTAGTAGCTGTTAATGAACAAATATCATGTAGAGAATTAATCGAACGATTAATTTTATTATTTAATCGAAGTGGTAGGAGAGAAAAATATATATATATATAAATTGTATTATTTATTTTCTTCTTATACCAAATAGTTGATCCAATTGAATGTAAAACGATGAACTCAGTTATTAAATTCTTCAAGGATCTGTTCGGTGATGGAGGGACGACAAGTGATGCACTTTTATTTGATTCCGATCGACGTTTAATTGTTGAAATAATCAGTAGAGAATTAGCAGATCGTTCAATAACAGATGAAGTAAAATATATATATTTTGATTAACATATATGTTATGTCTTTTGTTTAGAGAACAACCGAGTATTTATTTTTATTAGAATTAATATTTCGTAGTCGATCAATAACTTCTGAAACTTGTACACGTATTGATGATCTTCAAACAAGTTTTCGAGCACATTTATATGCAGAAAATTGTTTAAAAGAAAATCGACTTATTATTAACGAAATTCTTCGACAACATAATTGGTTAACGACGAATGACATGCCATTTTATCTTTAAAATATATTTTAATATCTATTCATCTATATCTAAATGTGTGTATGCGTGTGTGTTTTTTTTCCTAGCTGACAGAGATAACATAAGTTTTGACTATTAGATAAATAAATAAAATATATATATTTGTAATTGTAGATTTAAAAATAAATATATTCAATGCCAGGATTAACATCAAATGATACTGTACAACAGACAACAGATGAAAAACCAAAATCACAAGAACAGATAGATTTAGAAGAAGCTGAAACAGCATTAGTTGCAAAAGATTATAAAACTGCTCGTAGTTTATTGGAAAAATTAGTTCAATTGGAAACAAAAATTGATGATGAAGAATCAGCACGAATTAAAGAATCAGCAATACTTTCTCTTGGAAAACTTTTTAAAGAAATAAAAGATGCAAAAGGTATGGAAAAATGAATTCTTTTTCTCTCTTAGACAGACAACTAATAGAATTATTTTATAGCATTGGCAGCTCTAATTAAAACTACTCGACCATTTCTTGGTCTTGTAAGTAAAGCTAAAGCAGCTAAACTTGTACGAACACTTGTTGATTTATTTCTCGATATGGAAGCTGGTACCGGTGATGAAGTAAGACATCATTTTTTATTTTAATCAAATCTTATAATATATAACATAATTAAATTTAGGTTTCATTATGTCAAGAAAATATTGAATGGGCTAAAAGTGAAAATCGAACATTTCTTCGACAAGAACTTGAAGTAAAAACATAATAATATTTAATTATTAATAATAAATATTATTTTAGGCACGTCTTGTTGCTTTATATTATGAAACACATCTTTATAATGAAGCATTGATACTTGGTTCACAATTATTAAAAGAATTAAAAAAACTTGATGATAAACAATTACTTGTAGAAGTACAATTATTTGAAAGTAAAACATATTTTGCTTTAAGTAATTTACAAAAAGCAAGGTAAATTAATAATAAAAATTGAATCAAGAAAAACTATTAATAATGATTTTATTTAGAGCTGCATTAACATCAGCAAGAACAACAGCAAATGGAATTTATACACCACCAAAACTTCAAGCAAGTCTTGATTTACAATCTGGTAGATATTTTCTTTGCTAGAGTTTTTCGGTGTCTTATAATAATATTTAATTAAAGGTATTCTTCATGCTGCTGAAGATAAAGATTTTAAAACAGCATTTTCATATTTTTATGAAGCTTTTGAAGGTTATGATCAAATTAATAGTAATAAAGGTATTACTGCATTAAAATATATGTTATTATCAAAAGTAATGATGAATGCGTATGTTTATTTATTTTAAGTTATATTTTATTATTATAAATATTATATTTTTCCTATAGACCAGATGATGTTAATGGACTTATGTCGGTTAAATTAGCACTTAAATATAGTGGTCGAGATGTTGAAGCAATGAAAGCTGTTGCACAAGCAAGTAAAAAAAGATCATTAGCTGATTTTCAACAGGTTTGAATTTATTATTGAAAAATAAAATCATTGATTTTATAAGAAATTCTTTTTTTGTCTAGGCATTAAAAGATTTTAAAACTGAATTATCCGATGACCCGATGGTTCATTCACATTTAGGTACATTATATGATAATTTATTAGAACAAAATCTGTGTCGTCTTCTTGAACCATTCTCTAATGTTCAAATAGAACATATTGCACATTTGATTAATTTACCTCAAGTATATTTTACCCTGATGTTTCTTTTTTGTTATTCATTTTTTCGTTTATTTTAGGATGTTGTTGAGAAGAAACTTTCTCAAATGATTCTAGACAAAAAATTTAGTGGTATTCTTGATCAAGGTTCAGCAAATATAGTTATTTTTGATGAACAACCATCAGATACACAATATCAAGATGCGCTAGTGATTGTTCAAAATATGTCGAAAGTAGTTGATACTCTCTTCAGCAAGACAAAAAAACTTTCTTAGTTCTTTTTTTCTATTTTTATTTTTCTTTATTTCTGATAATTTTTGTTATCATTCAATCTTGAGCTATCTTTTTTTTCTTCTTTCATTCTTCTTGTTGACGAAGATAAAACAAACAACAATACGGTATAACCTATCAATATATATTAAACAAGATTGAATAATTTTATTTATTATTTTAAAAACATAACTGTTATAAAACAATAAGATAGAATAATTATTTCTTACTCTACATACGATTAGAATGTGTTCAATAATACACAAGAATTTCTTTCTATTTATTGCTTCAACAGACTGCATCTATTAATATTAATTTTGTCGGACAAATATTATTATTTCATGTTCCGTTCTATTAATTATATGATTTAATAAATAAAGAAGAAATCATAAAAATATTGTAGAAAGCAAAACAACTACGTAATTGTATTTATTGTTCATATAATACATAAGAAACGATTGTTCCATTTTGTCTATTCGTATTTGACTTTCAGTTTGAACGTTTACGATGCGCAGATCTTGATCATATCAATGAGTTTCGAATTGTATACATTAGAATGATTTATTTTTTGTTTTTATCCACATGTATATATTACACAAAAAATACTTTAGAAAATATCATAAATCTTTCGGTAATTATTTACTACTCGATCAATCAAGCCATGACATCAATCGTTCTGCATAGCAAGTATGAACAAGATCGATTCATACTCTCACCTATTCAAAACATGATTTATAATCAACAGGAAATATATTCAAATACTATTCCTTTGTATCTAAGAATATTTAAATATAGTATTTTTATCATTGCTTGAAATAATTTCTATGTCAAATAATTTAGAGTATCATAAGATCATCTTTTGCTTTCTATTTAATATTTGTGTCATATCTTTCCTGAAATATGTCACATCTTATTTCTTTTGTTTTCGAGTGTTAGAGAATTCCCTAATGCATAAAATTGTTATTAGTAAATTGCTCCTTTTAGAAGTATTATTGTCAAAGGGTTACCGTAACCTTTTGAACAATTAGTGAAAACAAATATTGAAATGACTATTGGTTATGAATGAAATTGATTCACTTACAAAAAAACAAAAACAGAGCTGATCAAATTCAATTAATGATAATTTCTAGAATATTTTCTATTTTTTGTAAACTAAGTGTACAGAATAAACTTCATATGTTGAAAACGATCTCTTCGAATATGATATTACTGATTTGACCAAAAAATGAAAACGTTCTTGTTTTTTCGATATATTATATTTTAAAAAAGTCAAATACTCCTCTCTTCTTCCTCCGAATTAATTTTCTACATTGTATGGTCTTTGTCAACGATTTTCATCTAAAGATAGCTCATCTCTTTTCATAAATATTTTGTCCAGTGATAACCTAGACTGTTGTTTGAACAGGAATAAAAATGATATATATTCTTTTTTGTTTTTCTTCTGAACAATTAATAATTTATTTTTTTATTAATCTTTTTTTGCTGATTTTCTCTTTAATTTAGCAACAATATCATCTTCATCACGGTCAGTCCTTGATGAAGAAGTTACATTATCAAATTTTCTTTTCTTTAGTTTTTCGTCGATAAGTCGTTGTGTACCAGCTGTTGCTTTAAATCGAGGATCAGTTTGATCAATATTGAATGCTGATTTGTCATAAATAGCTTTAAAACGTGTATCATCTACATTCAATTTAAAAGAATCGTCATTCTTATTTGTTTCTGATGTATCTAAAGAAGTTTGTTGCATATGTTTGGATTTCTTAGCATTTTTAGCTGCAGCTTTAGTTGATTGTTTATGAGATTTGATCATATCGCGAAGATTATAATCACGTTTTTCATCAATGTCATCATCAACTGTAAGTAATTCAAGTGTTTCTCGATCATTTTCAGTTTGACCATCATCTTCTTCTTCTTCTCGTTGTTCCATTTGTTCTCGAAGAAGATTTGATTTTTCTTGTTTTTTATTCTTAGGTTTCTTCTTTTCACTTTGATTTTGTGAAATCTGTGATTTTTGATCAACTTTTCCTTTCAAGCCTGGTTGCCATGTGATCTCCATATCAATGTCACTATCATCATCATCGTCATCATCATCAAGCATACCTTGATTAGAATGTTCTTCATCACTATTTTGTTCATCGAAAAAAGTTGTTAATTTTTTTTTCGATTTTTTATTTGATTTTGGTTCTTCATTAAAATCTAACAGTAAAGCTCTAAAGAAACAAATAAATGACAAAGTTATATATATAGACGAAAATTTACCTATAACGATCAATATCATCTTGAGTACTAAGTACACTAGGTGCTCGAGCTATTGGTTGATTTGATTTTTTTTTATTTTCATCTGATGGAATAGATGTTGGTATTTTGAAAATTGCATCATCATTTTTCTTCTCATCTTCATCACCACTTTCGTCATTATTATTATCATCATCATCATCTTGTGGTTCTTCATCAGATTCTGATGCTAAATAAGCATCTAAATCAACTTTTTCTAATTCTTCAAGTGTGTATTTTTTCTTTGTTAATCTACGTCGTTCAACTGGTGTTTCATCCCATGTACAACGTACTTTTGTTTGTGTTAATGCTGTATTACGAAAAAGTAATGGTTTATATAATGTTTTATCAGGTAATTGAGTACATTGATCATGTGGAGCAATCGAAGAATCAAATGTAACTGAATCTGGTATAAAACGTAAATCAAGGCGAACAGCACTTGTTTCATATTCAAGTCCATCACATTCTTTATATATATGAGCAGCTGTTGCTTCACTATCACATACAGCAACGGCGTAGTAATATTTTAAACGATTTAATTGATATTTTCGTAATCGTTCACGCATAATTGGATCAGTTGCATCTTGATCATCATCATGATTATAATTTGGTTCTTCATCCTCATCATCTGATTTGATTTCTGGTAATTCTGGTTCTTCTTCAGCTTCAGTTTGATCTTCATTATGTTTACCATTTCTATAGAAAATCAAGATATATACATATATATATATTTATGCATATAACACTTACTGATTTGTTGTTATGGGTACAGGTTGGGCCGTTCCAGGTAAAGGACCAAATTTTTTCTCAGCTTCCATTTGTTGTATTCCATATTCAGATGGATAGATAGTAACTGATTTAATTGTACCATCAGCTGGTTTCCAAGAGTTTAATAAAAGAAAGATATCAATGGCTCGTACACGATCCCAATCCATATTACATACAGCTAATCGATGACTAACGTCATCAGTTCTAAATTAAAAAGTATTAATTTTTATCATTGAATTAGAAATATTTACCGAGCACATTTATCATCAAATTCATTCCAGGTTTCTCCATCAGTAACTTCAGGTATTTCTTCATCTTCATCTGATGAACTTGATTTGTCTTCTTCTTCGTCTCCTTCTTCTTCATCATCATCTTCTTCTTCTTCTTGACTTTCGTCACTTTGAAGTAATTCATCAAGTTCTTCATCATCTGTTAATTTTCTTTCTTTTTCTGTTTCTTCTTCTTCTTCGGATGATGTTGAACTATTTCCATCTTCTTCTTCTTCAAGATGATAAAATTTTTTCATATCATCACGTGTTGTATGTTCTTTAACAAGTGGTCTACCACGTTTATCAACTGTATATTTTAATTTAAATTTTGGATCGTTAAACATCGACGCAAAACGTCTATCAATTTTTAATTTTCGTTCACTTTTCGATGCTGGTCGAAAACGTGGATCTTTTGCAATGTGAGCAAAACGAGCATCTTTTTTAAGTTCATCCATGTTTTATAATTAAAAAAAGCAAACTAATCTAAAAATATGAAGAGATCAAAAATAGACATTTATTGGATTAAGAGTTCATGGTTTTTTATTCAGGACAAAAGAAAAAAAGAGAAAAGTCATAAATCTATCTAAGTGGCAAGTCGAAATGAAAAAAAAGTACAAAAGTTTATTTTGGCAAACGATTTGCAGTTGTTGAATTCGTTTTGTTTGTTAAATTTTCAATAGCATTGAATACTTGATTAGCATTCATACCAGTTAATGGAATTTGTTTTTCAATTCCATATTCATATCGTGTCCATAATGTTGGATTTATATTTGAACATTCTCGTATGAGTATTGGTGTTGTTGGATTTTGGCTTTTTAAATTCACATAAAACTTCTCGATAAATTGTCGTACACCTTCACTAGTCGATGATTTTTGACATAAATGTAAACGTAATTCTTTTACAGCTGGTGCGAAACGAAGTGCTTTAGACATTATCTGAAAACATAACGAAAACAAATAACTGAGAATGTTTATTCTGTTTAGATGCTTAAACAAAAAAAAATCCTGAACATATTATCGGTAGTCCAATGACTAAACAAAAAAAATCATGCAAAAACAAAAAAAAAGACCCTGAACATATTATCGGTAGACTGATGACTGAGCAAAAAAACAAAATCATGCAAAAACAAAATTAACAAAAAACTGAGCAATAACAATATCATTTGGAAAGTATAATACTAAGTAGAGCCATTCGGATATAAAGACCATTTTCAGCTTGACGAAAATATGCAGCACGGGGATCAGTATCAAATGAAGTACTTATTTCATCGAGACGTGGTAATGGATGCATAACAATCATTTTACCATGTTTTTTAGCATTACGCATTAATTGTGGTGTTATTGTATAAAGACCGCAAGCCTATGAAAAATATGAAATAATTAATTAAATATAAGATATTAAGAAAAAAACAAACCTTTTCGTATTCTTCTTCTGAATCGAAACGTTCTTTTTGAATTCGTGTCATATAAAGAACATCTGTATCTGGTAAGATCTGTTCTAAACTTGTATGTGATTTCTAAAGATAAAATAATGAATAATCTGTTTAGTTTTATCTTATAAGGATAGGTTACTTGTGGAATGCCTGCAGCTGCAACACAATCAACAATATCTTGTGGCATAGCTAACGACTGTGGTGAAACATAATGAAGTGAAATTGATTCTAAAGACATATATTATATTAAAGAAGAAAATACAAGATGTAACATACTATCATTATAGAGTGTTAATAATTTGGCAAGTGAATGAACAGTTCTACCATGTTTTAAATCACCAACCATTGTAATCTTCAATGAAAAGAAAAGATTTTTTTGTTAAGGATAATAAATCAAATAAAATGACTTACAGTTAAACCATTGAATGTTCCGATTTCTTCTCGAATTGTAAAAATATCAAGAAGAGCTTGTGTTGGATGTTCACCAATACCATCACCAGCATTTATAACTGGTATACGTGATACACCAGCTGCTCGTTGTACAACACCCATTTCAGGATGACGAATAACAAGAACATCAGCATAACTCATTAACATTCGAACAGAATCTATGATATTAATGAAGTAAAATAAACTAAAACAATTTATCAATAAATTCATTATACCTTCAATCGATTCTCCTTTTTTAATTGATGATAATTGACTATCAAATGGCATTACACTACCACCAAGACGTAACATTGCACCAGTAAATGAACATTGTGTACGTGTAGAAGGTTCAAAAAACATATGTGATAAAATTTTACCCTTTAAAATCAAAGTTAAATATTATTCAATAGCAAAAAAATTAATTACAGTTAATATTGGTTCAATTGGACGATGATGGAAATAACAATTACGATATTGATGTGCTAAAGTAAAAATTTCTCGACACTAAAAAGAAAACAAATAAAAATATAAATCATATATTTCAAATATTCAAAAGAACATACTTGTGCGCGAGTTAATTGTAAAGCACTAAGTAAATGTTGTCTTGCTAGACCAGCACCAGTTCTTGGTATACCTTCTGGTTTATCCAATGCACTAGGTTCACTTATAACTATTCAAAAAGAAAAATTACAATTAAAAATGGGATAGAAATAAAATTATTTACATCGTTGTCGTGTTTGATGCATCTGTAATGGTGAACGTTTCGTTTCCAATATTAAATTTTGTGGTGTTTTAACTCTTTTTATTTTTTTGTTGTTGTTATCACGTAAATGAACTAGATTTTTTCCTGTTCCTTGTTCAGCTAATACTTGTCCATCAACAACAACAACTTCACCACGAAGTACAACACGATGAACAGCACCACGCATTTGCATACCAATAAATGGTGTCCAAGCAGATTTTGATAATAAACTTTTATCATCAATAACCCATTTTCTTTCCATATCAACTTCAATAAATGTGTCATCACCTTGATCTGGTAAATTAAATATACGTTTTGGATTTTTATACATTTTTTCAATTAATTGTTCAATTGTTAATTTTCCATTATTAACAGCAGTTAACATTAATGGTAAAACTGTTTGTAAACCAGAAAAACCAGGTGGTGGATTTTCTTTCTTCGATTTTTCATCTTTTGTATGTGGAGCATGATCTGTAGCAATACAATCAATTACATCCATATTATCCCATAATGCTTGACAATCCTCAACTGTTTGTAATTCTGGTTTAACATGACAAAATCCTTCATTATTACCATAAGCATTTAAAATAAATTGTGAATTATCACGATGAAGAAATAAATGATGTGGTGTAACTTCACATGTAACTAATAAACCTTTTGCTTTTGCTGCACGTATTAGAAGAATTTCATCACGACGTGCAACATGTGCAATATGAACACTACGTCCATAGATTTCAGCTAAACATAATATACTTGCAACTGTTTGACCTTCAGCATGAGCAACAATTGGAATATTTTGTGGCCATTTTTCAAAATCTAATTTATTTAAAAATAAACTTTATTATATATAAAGTATAGATAGAAATTTATTTTTCTTACGCTGCATCCATGATTCCATATTATCTAATTTTAAATCACCAAATGTTGTATTAAGATACATTTTTAATCCAATACAACGATGTGCTATTTCAGAAGCGGCTTGAGCATTATCAATACTTGCACCCATATATAAACCATAATCACAAAGAGCTTTTTTTTCATAAAGTTTTTCTGTTGTTTCTAATACAGATAAATTTGTTAAAGCTGGTTTTGTATTTGGCATTGCTAAGACCATTGTTATACCACCTGAAAAAGAAATATATATATTTATTTTTAATATGTTTAATTTTTATTCTATTCTTACCAGCTAAAGCTGAAGCAGTACCAGTAACAATATCTTCTTTATGTTCATCACCTGGTTCTCGTAAATGAACATGACTAGAATAAATATTTTGTATTCAATAAAGAAAAGTTTTCTTTTTCATACCAATCAATTAAACCAGGTAATCGAATAAGTGTTGTAGTTGAGATGGAATCAATATTCATATCAATTAGTGATCCACGTCGAGTTGATCGACGTAAAGCTTCAACAAATAATTTAACACATTTAACATCGGTCATTAATGGAACACTATAATCAGTAGCTAAACGACGACATCGATAACCTTGAGTAACAAATGAAGATGCACGGAATGTACCAGCTGAACGCATTGGAATATTAATAACCTACAAAAAAAATTAGATAGAAATGTTGTTTTTTAAATAAAATAAAATAAACGTACTAAATCAAATGAACCATTAGCAAGATAATCTGCAATTGTTGTTTGTGGATTATTTTCCATAGATGGTGAATCAAGATGACTATTTCCATTTTCATATCCATTTGAATTTGTTTCTGATTGTTCATATTTCCAATCAATTGGATGTATACTAATACCATTTGCTTCAAAATAATCTGCTGTTCCTATACTAGCATATAATTCATAGCCAAGTTGTTTTAAAGTACGAATAGGTGTTAATAATTCTTGTTTAGCTTTATATGAGCCAACTGAAATAAGAATATTTTTTTTGGGTAAACGATATCCAGTACTGATTAATGCTTTTAAATAAGCATCAAAACGATCAACACCAAAACAAGCAACTTCACCAGTCGACATCATTTCAACTCCAAGTAAAACATCAGCACCTTTTAAACAAAATAAAGTAAATACGGTGAGAAAAAAATATATTCTTTACCCGATAGACGTGAAAATGAAAATTGTGGAACTTTAACACCAACACGTTCGGAATGTAGAAAAAGAACATCGTCAATTGGTTCTGGTTCAACACCTACTAGAATTTGTGTAGCAACAGCAATAAAATCATGATCAAATGTTTTAGAAATAAATGGAAATGAACGAGATACACGAACATTACATTCGATTACTTTTAATTCATTATCCTGAATATAATGTGCATGTTAAATTACAATTTTTATTTCTTAATAAAAAACTAACTTTAGCAATTAATTGTAAATTAAATGGTCCTGATATTTGTAATGCTTTAGCAACTGAAAAACAAATTCGTCGAATTTGTTCAATAGTATGTTCATTAAGATCTTGTGGTGGTGTTACTAAAGTAGCATCACCAGAATGAACACCAGCATTTTCAACATGTTCTGAAATTGCCTAAAAGAAAATAGAAGATTTTATTTTGAAATAATTTTCCTAATTCTTCATATATATACCATTCTAACAACTTCACCATTTCTTGCTACAGCATCAATATCTAATTCTTTTGCATCAAGAATAAATTTTGAAATAACAACAGGATATTCTTTTGAAAGACCATGTTCACTTAAATATGCTTTTAAATCATTTGCATTAAAAACAATACGCATTGCTGCACCGGATAAAACATATGATGGACGAACAAGACATGGATAATCAACTGCATCACAAAAATTACTAGCACCTTCAAAACTTGATAATTCTTTCCATTTAGGTTGTTTAATATTCATTTCATCGAGTAAACGAGAAAATTTAAAACGATTTTCAGCTGCATCAATACTTTCCGGAAATGTACCTTGAAAAAGATAAAAATAAGAATAGTTTTTTGGAATTATATTAATTTGAATTTTTTTACCAAGAACATTAACATGACTTTGTCGATGTAAATCCATTGCAATATTATTTGGTAATTGTCCACCCATAGATAGAACAATACCATGTGGTCTTTCAAAATTATAAACATCAAGAACAGATTCAAATGAAATTTCTTCAAAATATAATCGATCACTCATATCATAATCAGTACTAACAGTTTCTGGATTACAATTCAACACTAATAAAATGAAAATATTATAAATTTAAAATTCTTTTTTTTCTTCTCATCTATATTTTATACTTAGAGTATAATGACCAAGACGTCTTAATTCTTTTAGACAACCAACAGCACACCAATCAAATTCAACACTACTTCCTAGAAGAAGAAAACAACAAAGAATTCAAATTTTCATTCGAAAATCAATTTTAAATAGATTTACCAATTCGATAAACACCAGATCCAAGAACAAGTATTGGTGTACTTTCAAGTGTACTTGGTTGTACATCATCACTACTACCATGATAAGTTAAATAAAGATAATTTGTTTGTGCTGGCCATTCACCAGAAACAGTATCAATTTGTTTAACAAATGGTCGAATTTGAAATCGTTCACGTGTTGCACGAACTTCAAGTTCAGTACTACCACAATACATACCAATTTGTTTATCAGAAAAACCTAAACGTTTTGCTTCACGTAAAAGTGATTTATCTTGAATAAGTGATGGATCTGAATGATCAGCAATAAATTGAATAATCGTTGCAAATTTATGAAGAAACCATCGATCTATTTTTGTTAATTGAAATAATTGTTCAATTGAATAACCTTGACGAAGAGCTGTTGCTAAGATAAAAACACGTTTATCTGTTGGACTACTTAATTCCTATAATAGAATGAATTCAAAATATGATAAATAATCTTGAATTCTAATGAATTACATCATCTGTAATTGTTCGAGAATATGGATCAAAACCAGTTACTTCTTCATCAACCATTCGTAGAGCTTTTTGAAAAGCTTCTTCAAATGATCGACCAATAGACATAACTTCACCAACACTTTTCACTAGTTAAAATACAAATCAAATAAGAATTTCTGTTTTTTTTTATAAACTAAAATTATTAATTACTTGAACTTCCAATTTTATTTGAACATCGAACAAATTTTCTTAAATCCCATCTTGGAACTTTAATTGTAACATAATCAAGACTTGGTTCAAAACAAGCACATGTGACATTTGTTATACTATTTCTTAATTTAACTAAACTCATTCCAAGTGCAAGTTTAGCTGCTATATAAGCTAATGGATATCCTGTTGCTTTTGATGCCAATGCAGATGAACGAGATAATCGTGCATTTACTTCAATTATATAATATTCATTACATTGTGGATTTAATGCAAATTGTACATTGCATTCACCAACAATACCCAAATGTCGAACAACTTTTATTGATACACTTCGTAATAAATTATATTCATCATTGGATAATGTTTGACTTGGTGCAACAACAATTGATTCACCAGTATGAATACCTAATGGATCAATATTTTCCATGTTACATACGACAATACAATTATCATATTGATCACGAACAACTTCATATTCAACTTCTTTCCAACCTTTAAGTGATTTATCAATTAATAATTGAGATGAATGAGCTAATGCCGATGTAACTAAAGGTACTAATTCTTCACGATTATCGGCAAAACCTGATCCAAGACCACCAAGTGCAAATGCAGCACTAAATAATTATAATAAAATAATAAATAAGAAGAATTATTTAAAAAACAATGTATATACCGAACAAGAACAGGATAACCAAGTCGATCAGCTGATGCTAATGCCTAAAAGAAAAATATTATTGTAATATTTCTATTTATTTATTTTTTGAATCAAACCTCTTCAAGTGAATGAACAGCTTCACATGGTGCAACTTTTTCTCCAATACCAGCCATTTTTTGTGCAAATAAAGCTCTATCTTCAGTTACTTGAATTGATTTAATCGGTGTTCTATTTATATAATAAATATTTGAGAAGAAAATAGAATATTAATAAGAAAATGTTGAACTTACCCTAATACATTACATGAATATTTTTGAAGAATACCTGATTCATATAATTGAACACCACAATTTAATGCTGTTTGTCCACCAAAACTAAGTAGAATACCATCAGGACGTTCATTTCGAAGAATTTGTTCAACATAAGCTGGTGTTATTGGTAAAAAGAAAACTTTATTAGCAAGACCTTTCGAAGTTTGAACTGTAGCAATATTTGGATTAATTAATACAGTATAAATATGTTCTTCATTCATTGCTTTTATTGCTTGTGTTCCTTTAACATATCATATTAATTATTAAAACAAGAAAAAATTAACTTATAAAACATACCGGAATAATCAAATTCTCCTGCTTGTCCAATAGTTAAACCACCACTACCTAAGATTAATACTTTTTTAACTCGACTACAGAAGGCAGGTGGTGGTGCATTAGCATCACTACAACGACTAGTTAATTGTTCGATTAGATAAGATTTTACATTGATGGGTGTATTTGTTTTATATGATTGAACAACATTAAGAAAAATTTGAAAGAGATTTTCAGTATCACGTGGTCCAGCACAATGTTCAGGATGAAATTGAACACTAAAAAATGGTTTAGAATCATGAACAATTCCTTCATTGGATTGATCATTTTGATTTGTAAATAATATACTCCAATCTTTTGCTAAACCTTCAGCTGTTTGAACAGCAAAACCATGATTTTGTGATGTAATAAAACAACGTTCAGTTCCTTCTAATAAACATGGCTAAAAATACAAAAACAGAAGAAACAAACTTATTTTGAAAGTTATTTTTTAATAACATACTTGATTATGACCTCGATTACCGTATTTAAGTTTAGCTGTTTTCATTCCAGCAGCTAAAGCCATTAACTTAACAAAAATTTAATTCATTTAATAAAATGAATAGATTTATGTCAAATGTTTTACTTGATGACCAAGACAAATACCAAATATTGGTTTAATAGTTTTACTTGTAAGCCATTTTGTAATAGTTTCAATTGTTTCTGGACATTGACTTTGTGGATCACCAGGACCATTACTTAGAAATAAACCATCAAATTCTAAAATATGAATAGAAAATACAAGAATAGGATCGATTGTGTTTTCAAATAAAATACCTTCTTGTTTTACAGGATGATTCCATGGAAAGACAGTTACTTTTGCTCCTAGTTGACATAGAATACGTAATTGATTATTTTTAAGACCACAATCAATACAAGCAATAGATATTTTTCCTGTTGGATTCAACACACGTGGTGCCTAATAATTTAATAAAAACATAGAAATAAAGAAAAATAAAGTAAAAGTTTATTAACCTTGATAGAAACTTGTGTCATAAGATTAATTTTATTCTGATCTTGAAATGTAATAGATTTTGGATCTGTTCCTTCCATAACAATCTAATTAGATGTAAGTTTCATTTAAAAAAAAGTTGAAAAGAAATCATATAAATTATACTTTTCCAAGCATTGTTCCATGTTCACGGAGTTTTTTAGTTAACATACGTGTATCAATACCTGAATAATTAAAATAATTATTGGTAAATAAAAAAAAGAAGACTTTATAAAACTAACCATAAAGACCCGGAACATTATGTTTTTTAAGCCATGATGATAGAGATTCGACGGCATTCCAATGACTATATTGCTCAGTATATGCACTAACAATTAAAGCTGATGCATAAATTTTATTTGATTCAACCCATTTAAGTAGACCAAAATCATCAATAGCTTTTTCATCTGGTACACCTATAAGACTAATAGATTAAGTCACATGTTTAAACATAGAGATATAAATAACAAACCATAATTGCCAATAAGTGGAAAAGTAAGAACTAGAATTTCTCCACAATATGATGGATCAGTTAATGATTCAGTATAACCGACCATACCAGTTTGAAAAACTAGATTAAAGATAAATAAATCAATGAAAAACAAAATTTATAAAAAGAATCTTACCAACTTCTCCAGTAGTATTTGTTGATGCTCCAAATACATAACCTTGGAATTCAGAACCATCTTCAAGAATTAAAGTTCCACGTTTCATCTTGAAAAATAAATCAGAAATGATTATTTCTTTTGAAAATCCAAAATCAGTTTTAATGTGTTCCTTCGAAAGATAAATTACGACACAGATATATATACTCGTTGACTATCGAGGCATTGTATATGAAAAAAATTATCTTTTCACATTTCATTGCATGGAATCTCGTACGCACTTAGAAAGATAAATTAAACCTAGTTTATATTATAGGAATGTAAGCGAAATATTGAATAGAGTCTACGTGCAGGAATGAAGGATTTAAGACTCCAATCATATTATATTTGCCTATCTATCAATGTCTACTGACATCTATCAATAAACGTGTTCCGTACAGTACTATATGTATTTCTCTTAGTTTAATCTAATACTATAATAAATTATCAACTACATACCAATGTATGCAATTAATTATCGCTTTTTGAAATGTGTCTTTTACATGTTTAACAATCATCACGGTACTTCACAATTAAAATATTATTACGTGTTAAAATTTATAATCTTTCTTGTATTTATAATGTTTGTTGAGTGCAAATACCAACTTGCACTTTTGTATACACTATGGCCAGGTGATTTCAACTAGGGTTATCAACTCCAAAGACAATGTCTATATTATTGCTCGTATTCTTTCTCGTACGTTGAGCTTGGCTTCAAAGTACAATATGAGGTCGAAATAGAACAGATACATCAATATTGGAATGAAGTTGATGAACTTAGAAATGACGTGTGTTATTCTGGACCTAGTTTTAAAACTCCTCAACAATTTACTGATTATGATGGATGGAAACTTGATCCGCAAGATCCCCATCTTTTTGATTTGCCAAAGAATATTGATTGTAATCAGCCATGTACATAATTGTAACTTTCATTTTGAAATGTGAGACATGTATTTCCTTTGGTATTTTTCAATAAGAACATAAAACGCAACTCATTAAGAAGAAAAATCTATATTTTTTATCATGATTTTTGAATGATGACAAATCATGATAGTAAGAACTTCTTAACGATATCAAATTTTCTAAAAGCTCTAATGATACGCATTTTTTTCCTTTCTTTCGTCATTTTATTAGCATATAAAAGTCAGTATAGTTCTTTTACTTGCCATATTAGTATCTTTTTTTTCGATTCATTAATTTAGTCGAACAGAAAGACTAAAATAAAATTTCGTTCTTTGACTTCACTCCTTGTTTCGATTTTTGGTAGATTTATCAGTAGTATTAGGATTGGATAAGAAAAAGTAACCAATAAAAAGGATTTTTTTTTAAAAAGTATCCGTGAGATACGACGGTATACTACTTTGAATGTACAGTATTTAAGTGCGAGCGAAACGTATTCGAAATACTTACGATTTGGAAAGAATACTTTCTTATAGTACTTTTCTGCAAATCGGAATAGAAAGATAAGAGCAGTTGTTATATGTATGATGATCAAGTGCTACTTTGCATTACAATTCTTCTGAAAAAACGATGTGGGACAGGCAAAATCTATTATAACTGATATAATATGAGAATAATTTTGTTATCTATGAATGTTTTTTCATAGTACTTCAACGAACAATATATATCATAAATCCATTTTGTTTCAGATATCTATTAGAAAAATGTTACGAAGATCTTTATTTCATCTTATCAATCAAAAAAATATTTTATCATTAACTTCTCGTACTGTTTATCGTTCCGCACTTGATAATCCAGATAAAACAGCTGTGATTGATTCCAATGGTCGTTATTCATACTCACATCTTTTATCTGCTGCTGTGCAATTACGTGATAAACTTCTTTCTGTAACCGATGACAAAAAGAAATCTGCTAATAAACGTATCGCCTTTCTTTGCAATCCAGATGCATCATTTGTTGTAGCTCAATGGTCATGTTGGCTTTCACGTGCAATATGTATTCCACTTTGTAAAGATCATCCCGAAGCATTACTTGATTATTATATTGATGATGCTAAATGTTCACATTTAATTGTCTCGCCTGAATATGAAAAATTACTTCGACCACTTGCCGATAAATATCGCATACCATTAGTTATAATTACAAATAAAGATATTGAATTAGGTAAAACAAAACAAAACCTTCAATCATCAAATCAGGAACAATTAGATATTTTTTCAAAAAATTCTGATGATGCTCTTATTTTATATACATCTGGAACAACAGGAAAACCAAAAGTAAATTTTAATTATGTTTCGTACAATATATATATCGTAAAATATTTAGGGTGTTGTTCATACAATTGATACTTTACGTGCACAGATGAATGCTATGCTATCAGCTTGGCGTGTAACAAAAAATGATACAATACTAAATGTTCTTCCACTTCATCATGTTCATGGAATGATTAATTGTGTTATGTCACCACTCTATGCTGGTGGAACAGTAGTCATGATGAATAAATTCGATGCTGAACAGGTAATTGATAAGATTAACTCATTTTTTTTCTCATTTTATCTATATTTCTTATAGACATGGAATCATCTTCTCAATGATCGTAATCCATCAATTAATGTTTTTTCAGCTGTACCAACAGTTTATATAAAATTAATTGAACATATTGGAAAATCATCAAATAAAGATATAAAAAAATTATGTTCAGATCATATGCGGTATTTAATAGAAAAAAATAATATCGTTTTCTTTTTTCAACGATTTTTATTAAATTTATAGACTATTTCTATCTGGTTCATCAGCTTTACCTGAATCAACATTTCAGAAATGGCATGAATTAACAGGTTTTGAAATTGTTGAACAATTTGGTTCATCTGAAACAGGACGTGTTCTATCAAATAAACTTGATGGAAAGAAATTAGCTGGTAAAGGAATAAGTTCAAATTAATATGTAATCATCTAGTAAATATTTTTAAGGTCGAGTTGGTCTTCCAATGCCTGATTTAAAAGTACGTTTAGTACAAAAAGATGAAAATAACAACGAACAAACTGTAGTTGAAGGCACTTATGATAAAGTAAAAATTTTACAAAAAGGTTCGTAGAAAAGAAATATTGATGATTTATCATAAAAATTCTTCTTATTGTTATTTTTATAGAACATGATGGAAAAATCGAAGGTGAAATATATGTCAAAGGTCCTACCATATTCAAATACTACTTTAATAAAGAAGAAGCTACTCGAAAAGCTTTTGATTCTGAAGGATATTATATGATGGGTAAATACTTGTAAACATTTTATGTCAATATATGGTTAATATTATTTTTTGTTTTTGTTCTAGGTGATATGGCTGAATATAATAAAGCAAATAATACATTTCGTATTCTTGGTCGATCATCTGTTGATATTATAAAATCTGGTGGTTATAAAATATCAGCATTAGATGTTGAAACAGTTATTCTTCATCATCCACTTGTTAATGAATGTGTTGTTATTGGTGTTAAAGATTTAGAATGGGGTGAACGTGTTACGGCTATTGTTGTACTTCAACCAGGCAAGAAAGAACAAGATTTAACACTTGAACAATTACGAGATTATTGTAAAAAGAAATTACCTGGTTATCAATGTCCAACTCAATTGAAAATTGTCGATAAACTTGAACGAAATGCTGTTGGAAAAGTGAATAAAAAAGAATTAAATGCAAAACTTTTCCCACCTTCATCGAAGGATAAAAAATAATCCTATATATTCGCATATAATTATTGAATAAGTTGATTTTTTTTGTGATTTCACATATTTTAATATTTTATCTTATTTCTCTAAAAGAAAAAGCTAGATTATAAATATCTTTAAAAATTTTTCTTTACATTAAATATAGAATTGTTTTTATCAAAGAAAACAAGTAAAAGTTGTTTTATTAATCTAATGAATTATTTTTATAAGAATCTTATAAAGATTTGTTATTTGAAAATATAATTGATCCATACAAAATAATCTCTATTACAGATGATTTATTCTCGTATTATTATTTTTCCAATACGTAAAAGTTTTTTTCATTTCAAATCTTCATTTCGTTTATCATCAACATCACGTCCAATTTATTATGAATCAGTTTCTCGTTATGCAAATCATGTTGCATTAGTTGATCATTCATCTTCATATACTTATGGTCAACTCTATTCTCTTTCACGACAACTCTCACGTCGTCTTACTCCATTTTGTCAACAACAGAAATCGACTGATGACACACAAAATAAAAATAATATACAATTTGGTGTTTTATGTCCAAATGATGTTTCATTTATTGTTGCTATGTGGGCTTCATGGATGGTCGGTGCAACTGTAGTTCCATTATCATCACATCATCCACCTTCATCACTTGCTTATTTTCTTAATGATGCACAATGTCGTGGAGTTATTGTTGGTGATGATCATAGTAATGAATTGATTAAATCAACATTAACACATAATTCACAAACTGATATGCCTATTATTAATATTAAGAAGAATTTATCAACAAAAAATACGAATGAAAATCTTAATGATGATCTTTTATTATCAACAACAATTGATCGAAGTGAACGATCAAATGCTTTAATTATATATACAAGTGGAACAAGTGGTAAACCAAAAGGATGTGTATTAACATTTGATACTATTCAAGCACATGTTGATTCAATGATAAAAGCATGGGAATGGACTAAAGATGATGGTAAAAAATTTTTTTTTTATAATTAACTTATTTTTTCGCTTTCTTTTGATCTATAGTTATATTACATGTTTTACCTCTTCATCATGTTCATGGTCTTATCAATGCACTTTTAACACCACTTTTTATTGGTGCTACAGTTGTAATGCTTCCTCATTTCGATGCAACAAAGGTTATTTTAAAAGAGAAAAAAAACAAAATATTATTTTACGTATTTTTATAGGCATGGGAACATTTAGTTCAACCTGGTTTCGAACGACATATAACTGTCTTTACAGCAGTACCAACAATCTATTCAAAACTTATTCAAGATTATGAAAGTAAATTAGCATCACGTCCTCAAACAAGAGAATTTGTTCGTGAACAATGTTCACAAATGATTCGTTTAATGATGTGTGGTTCAGCTGCATTACCTGAAAGTATTCATCGACGATGGTATGAAATAACAGGTCATAGTCTTCTTGAACGTTATGGTATGACAGAATGTGGTATGGCATTAACGAATCCATTAGATGGAGAAAGAATTCCAGGTATAATTTTTACTTATTCAAAAATACATAGAGAACACGATTTGAATTTAAGATAGTATAAAATTTATTCAAGAAAATCTCAGTATTCATATACATTATTCTACTACAAACATACTTATCATTTTGTTTATAATTAGGTTCGGTTGGTCGACCAATGCCTAGTGTGAATATTCGAATAGCACGAGAAAATACGACATCACCCATGGGTTATGAAACATTAGTAGATGCTGATAGTGATAATACAAAAATTGAAGTTCAAAGTAAGATGAAAATTTGTTTTTTATTTCGAAAAGTAAAATAAAATAAACTTTTTGTTAAGATACTGGTGAACCTATTGAAGGTGAACTTCTTATTCAAAGTCCAACTCTGTTTAAAGAATATTGGCGAAAACGTAATGAAACTCGTGCAACATTTACAATAGATGGTAGCTATTTTAAAACTGGTGATGTTTGTCGTTATGATCCAGTGAAAAATGTATTTTCAATTCGTGGTAGACAATCAATGGATATTATCAAACGTGCCGGTTATAAAATATCCGCATTAGATATTGAACGTATTTTATTAGAACATAAAAATATTTCTGAATGTTCAGTTATTGGCATTGATGATTCAACATTAGGTCAAAAAATTGTGGCTATGATTGTACCAAAATCATTAAATAATATCACTGATTTAACAATTGATAATGTACGAAAATATTCAAAAGAATATCTACCAAATTATTCCTTACCTGATTCAATAACTATTCTTGATCATATTCCTCGAAATGCAATGGGCAAAGTCAATAAAAAAGAACTTGCACGTTTAATCGTTTAATATGCATATTAGATCACTGTTTTAAACAAAGAAAAAAAATACGAAATACATAAAACAACACCAAACTACATTTATGACAAAAAAATATATAATATAAATATATATATAGTAGACTAGTGTTTATAGAAGCAAAAAATACTTGATATTATATAAATAATTGCAATATATATTACTTGTCTTTTGGAATATCACTCATCTTATTATTTTGATGTAGTTGCTTGTCTTGTCGTCGGCTGTAATACATTATACGTCGTAGATCAAATTGGATAATTGTACGAGCTACAACTGAAAATAGTTTATGATGAATTATCATAAATAATGTTTGATGTATATTAGCCCATAAACGATAATAACGACCAATAAATGGATCAAATTGAAATGGACATAGAACACCATTTAGATTTACCCAGGTTAACTAGATAGATTAAAAGTAAAATAATAGTTTTTTTTTATAATAATATAAATATACATACTAAGGAAACTGGTTGTAATACAAAATAATGATAAAAACGAAAGCTAGCTATAGCTGAAATTGTCCACCGAAAAGACGCAACCGGTTCAAGGCTATAACCTCCTAAAATATCAAGAATAAAATTATTTTTCATTTATTTAAACATATTTTAATAACCATGAGATGAGAGAAGAAAAATTGGTACGACTAAAATAAGAATATGTTGAATATAATAGAGTTCAACTTCAAATGGAAAAAGTCTTGTTGCTGTCACTGGAAAATAAATTGCAAGTGTACCACCATTTAACATACCACAATGTAAACGATAAAGACCACGCGTATAATAATTTGAAGAAAATGTCAGGAGAATAATCTAAATATAAAATCTTAAATTAATTATAAAAAATCTTATCAGTCTTGATGTTAAAATTATAAGTTTCAATTCCCCATCGACCAGCAGTTAGTAGTTTAATATAAATACTTCTCTTCTCAACATACATAGAAATCAGATCAGATGAGACTATCAATGTCCTAATGGAAAACTTGTGCTATTGAAATTAATCACCACATATATATATGTATCTTATTTATTTTATAGAATAATAATGAGAATAATATTATTATTTACTTGTATTAAAGTAACCATATGGCATGGATTAAGTATATAAATAAATTGACGTGAAGCTAATTTAAAACCAATTTCAATACCCCATAAAAGTGCATAACATACAAGTACTAAACGTCTTAATACACTTGGTCGTCCTTGTCGTTCTCTAGCGTATTCACGTGGGAATGATGTTCCTAATCGATTTTTTGCATAATAAGTTGCATAGTAAATTTCATATGATGCGACGATCACTGTGATGAGTGTTTCAAGTAAGCGTTGACGTAAGGTTGAATGTGCAGCACATTCAATACCTCCATCATCAGCCCAAGGTTCGGTATTTTTTGCCGAAAAATTAATACCCGCATATGTCCACTCGAACATCCCACTATCTAAAAGTAAAAATTAATAATACATAAACAAAAAAACATTCTCTTTCGTCATCGTAAAAAAACAACGAGACAAATACATATTTATTTGTACTCTAAAAAAAGAAAAAGAAAGAAAGAAACAAACAATAACATTGAAATCTTTCTAATTATAATCTAAAGATCTTCTAAATGTGTATCTTTAATATCAGGATTAACTGGTGGAATTAGTTTAACACCAGGTATATCTTGTCCAAAAAACCAATCATATTTTGTTGGAAAATATTCAGAATGAAGACGATTCGCATTCTTATCTGCATGTAATCGAGCAACAATATGTTTCATATTTACGGGCCATTTATCTTTATCATCTATTGAAATATTCATTTGATTCAAATTAAAATGATTTCCTATTGTTAAATGACCACTATGTGGAAATAATTTAGTCGAACCAATATCATTTAAAGATGGAACACCATTAATAAATGTCAATGGTTTTATCTGTACCATATGTTTGCATATATAAAGATGTTTATTTACTGATGGAGCATTTTTAAGGATGACTGTCAATACATCCCATTGCTTAAAAAAACATAATTAATTATCAAAATTAAAAGAATTTATATATGTATTTACCCTTCGACCAAAACTGATGAAACCAAGTTTTTCCAGTGCTTCTTTTACATATACAGTTTCACCATACGTTGATTGTATTTTAGTAACAACATGAAATTTATGTGGTGGTTTAGTTGGATCAATCATTGATTCGACTAATGATGGTTGAGTACTTTGTTCCATTTTAACTTCTTCCAATGCTGTATAACGAAAATGATCACGAAATCTAGCTTGTTTTGGTTGTTTAGGAGTATCATAATTAACATCTTCACGATCATGAAAACCTTTCTTATCAGCTACATGATATGAACGTTCTCGTGCATTATTTATAGCTGTTAGAGACAGATATCGTATTGATGAGAGCTATAGAAAAAAAAATCTCTACTAATTAGTATTATATAAATAGTGTAAAACTTACATGAGAAGATTTTATAGTTAAATTAATTATTTTTGAAGTAATCATTATCTAAAGAAGACAATGAATAGAAATATCAATCATATATAATTTTTTTCCTTTCTTTTTTTTCTTGAATTTCAAGAAACTGTACACACAAAAGACAAATAACAAAACACAGAAAAAAGAAAAAGAATTTAATATCGTTTTCGTTTGAAAATATTTGGTGCCCAATCCACCGGATGACTTTGTTCAGTCTAAAAATAGAAAATAGAAAATAAAATCAAAAATCTATTTTTCAATTATATTTACCGCTGTTTCGTCTTCTTTATAAATTTTAATTGTTTTATCAGCTTCACAGGTAATTAATCGACTACCACTTTGATCAAATGTCATTGCATAAATACCCATTTCAGGATCAATTGAACCTGGTTGTGGAATTGTTTGAAGGCGTTGAAAATTATAACCAGTTTTCCAATCCCAGAAATACAATGAACCATTATCCGCTAGAAAAAAACTTTATTATTAAAAACGCAAACAAATAATAAAAATCAATGAAGACATACCACCCGAAACGAGTACATTATCGGCATTAGAGGCCAATGAATTAACAATAGCACTATGACCACTTAAATTTTGAATGAATTCACCCTTAGGAAATCTCCATTCTTTAATATTATCTGGTGAAGCTGATGCCATTGTATTCCTAAAATTTTATACATTATAGATTATCAATAGTTTCTACTTTATTAGTCTTTTTTTACCATTTCGGATGAATTGCAAGTGAACGTACACTTTTTTTATGATGTGTTAATGTACAATATGTTCGTCCAGCAATAAGATCCCAAAAACGTATTGTACTATCATGACTTCCAGTCACAACCTATATTAAAAATAAAATTAATATATTATTAAAACGAGATAAAAAAATTAAATCTTACACTTGGATCTCCTGCTTGTGTTTTAACATCAGCTACAGTATTGGTATGTCCAGTTAAACAATGAATTTGAGCTTTTGTACGCATATCCCATACCTATATGATTCATTCGTTTGTTGATTTAAATTTTAAAAAAAATATATAAAACATACTCGTGCAACGGAATCTCGACCACAACTAACAAGAATATCAAGTGTTGGATGAAGTGAAAGTGCATAAACAGCACTTAAATGTCCATGATAATGACGAATAACCTAAGAGTAATAATAATCATAATAATTTCATGTTTTAAAAAACAAATATATATAAAATACTTTATTGCATTCAAGATCCCAGCATTTAACTTGTTTGTCTTCACCAGCTGAGAATAAATAAGGTTGTCGTGAACTAACAGCTACACCACGGACAGTTGATACATGACCAGTAAGTGATAATTTAAGTGTTCCACTAGCTAAATCCCAAATCTAAATTGAAATTTCTTAATTGTATTTATCCGAACAAAAACAAAGAAGATGATTTTTTTATACTTTAATAACTCGATCAGCTGCACCAGTAACAAACCATTCATTAGCTGGTTCAACATCAACACAACGAACCCAACCTAAATGTCCACTAATAACCTAAAACAAAAATATTATTACAATAAAAAAATGTTTGGTTTCATATAACATACTCTCATCAATTTCCATGGTGCATGCCATTGTGGTTTAGGCATAACTGATGCTGGTTTTTTCGATACAAGTGCTTGTAGTTGATTCGATGTTTGTTGTGGTTTATTTGCTACAACAAGTGCCTAAATCAAATTAATGGCAATCTAATAACTATTGTAATAAAATAATTGATTCATACATTGCTCATTGTTGTTGTTGATGTTACATCAGTATTTGAGATTGTACTAAAATATAAATAAATAAAATAACTAAAAAAATCAAAATCAAATATTTACGGTGGAATGGTATCATTAACTGTTTCATTGGTATTCTCAGTTGTATCTATAATATTGAATATTCATATTAATATTTATCTAAAAAAAAAGAAGTTCTATGCTTACCATCACCTAAAATGAAAAAATACTTATTTGAAGGAATTTAAGAGATAAAATAAAACATACTAGTTGCTTCACCTGATGCTTCAGTTGTTTCTGTAGTACTTTTCACATGAGGTTTCATACCTTTTGGTAAAGTAAGTACTGTACCATATTGATCTTTTGCTTTAATTTTTCTCGTAATAGCATCTCTATTTTTAAAGAGAAATATAATCGATTTTATTACGAAAGATAATTATTTGTAAATACATACGCCGTTTCATCGGGTGCTACAGGTGTATTTTGATTAGCAAGAAATAAATCATGTGTTCGTTTAAGTGAACGGAACACAAGTGAATGTACAGATATTGGTCTATCTGTAGTAGTAGTCTATAAAAATATAACAATTATAAGATAATATATAAAAGAATATCTATAGTTACAGTATCGGCCATCAGTAATAAAGGTGATGTTGCTAATCTAGAAGATACATAAATAAGTTCATAATTGAATAGAAAAGTAAGTATTAGTGATGCTTGACAAGAAGTTTTGGTTTTTTGAAAGTTAACATAATCATATTACGGTGCATTCTTTGTTTAGATGTAGAAATTTCTGGAATGATTGGTTTTCCATTGGGCGAATAGGAAATTTTCTATACGCATTATGAATCATTTTTATTGTTTTTTCTTATTTTTCTATGTCTGTGAATAGTGACATCTAAGTAGAAAACTGTGCATTTAACATCATATTGTTATTCACTTATTGTTTTGTTTTCGAAGATATCATGCATGATATGACGTATCAATAATCTTTTGTCATATAAGCTTGCTTAAAAAGAAACGTATCATGAAGGTTAGATTAAGATAGGGGGAAAAAGAATGAGATGACAATCTTGTGTATACAGTTGTGACTTGTATAACATAAGTTATTATTCAATACCATTATATTCCAGAAATGTCCTAGCTAAGTCAAGGCTAAAAATGTATATAGATACATATAATTATTTGGTATGCTTTAGTTTTGATTTCTGATTGAACAAGAAAATACAAATAGCACTCATATAATTATATAAAATTGATTTGATGAATATATTGCCTCGATTTATATAAGCTTTATGATTCCGTATCAAGCAAATCAGTTCTTAATAAATTCTTTAAGAATATTCATTATATATAGGTGGGTATGTGGAAAGATTCCAAAGGAATTTATAAATAAACGTGAGCTCGAGGAAAAAATCTCACAACAGGAAAAAGAGAAGAGAAAGAAAGAAAGAAAGATTCTGATATATGATGCTCTTTTCAAATTGAAATAAAAATATATAAATTGAAATGAAGTGCAAAAATAGTATAATCTGACAATAAAAAAGACGTCAACGGAACCTGGATGAGTTAAAATTTATTAAAAAGTCATTCTTCTCTTATTTCATTTGACATGGAAATTTTCCCAAAGAAGACGATGATTTAACGTAAGTCACAAAAGTACTAACTTGTCGATCTCTATTATAAGTTTTCTGACCTTGTCAATAACATAAGATCACATAAAATTTTATAATATCGAACTATGCAATCAATTACGATAAAATAATAATGGAGAACTTTCAATTGTAATTTTTTATCAAATTGAAAGAAACACTTAACTGTATTAAATATGCTTCTGCCATTACAGATAAGTGTTCTATTTTCTTATTAATATTTTTTTTAAAATAGATTTGATTAGATGTGTCAGATTTATACAGATCATAACGAGATTTATTGTTTAATTAACGAAATAAATTTTTTCTTTTTGTTTTGAAGATAAAGTAAAAAAAGAAGCGAACTAGTAATAGAAAACTAATTAATGGTATCCAAATGCCTGTTATTTGTTATAGTCAAGAATACTTGAGAATACTGCTGACAATGGCAATTATATCACAGTGGTATCTTTTCCGAAAATACTTAGTGAAGTATAGTTAATAAAAGGTTACATTGATATACGTTCTATTAATTCAACAGACAAAGGACTTTCTTACATTCCAATTTGCTTCATTTTGTATAACATTAATCATCCTTCTCAGTTTCTTCTTTCAGTTTTTATTTGACGTCTCTTAGCGGATAAGAAGATTTGTTGTTTATTGTAATATCTTATTGTGAACAGATTAAATTGTGACGAAGAGAAAAAGACGTGATTCTATAAAGTTTATTTCAGATGACATTAATTAAAAAAAGCTCAAAAATGTAAAGCATACTTTGAATTGATTGTATTCCAGATTATATTTCTCATAGTCATAAAGAAAACATAGATCAAATCTATTCTTAAACTAGCATATAAGTATTCTATTGTCTATGTTGATTTTGCCCTATAAAGAGAACTATAAATCTAAATCCAATTATTTTTTTGTTTTGTTCTTTTAATTTATGTAGTTGATTTAGTACGTTTGATATCAATGAATCATTCAAACGGGTGTTCTTTTCTTTTATATGAATTTGTATTAGATGACTCGCAAATCTTCTTTTTCCATTTTCTCGCCCACTGCTATATTTTTTTCTCTCTGAAATCTCATTTTATCTTCTTTGAATATAAACATCCTTTCATTTGACAATTCTCAATTTCTTTTACGTTGGATAAAATCATAATCAATAGACTAAATCTTTAATTTATTTTCTGCAATCATGATAGTTATTTTTTCTTTATTTATTTTAGATAATAAAAATATTTTATCGAACGTATCATTGCTTAATTGTTCCTCCGAATATGTTGAAACATCTCATCATTATCCTTTCACTTATTCAAGTCATCCATTGTTTATCTACGCGAAGCAATAGTAAGTCTTCACTTTATCTACATGCTGTTAATCAAAACATTCAATATTATTATTGTTTTTTCTGTCTTATAATTTTAGTCTGGTGGAGTCGACGTAATGATAATTCTGAACGAGAATGTAATATTGACTTTGAAAATAAAAATCCATCTCTTGAAGGAAAAATTTGTGGTAGATTATTTTCTATTGATTAGTTAAGTATTCGTTTTTGTTGAATTTTATTAGGTTATTGTTTTGTCAAATGTCAACAACAATTTGCTGCTTGTTTATTAGCACAAATGAATCAAGTAGTAGGTGGAGCACTTGATTTTTGTGAAAATATGTCGAACAAATGTGAAGCTACTTGTTTAAGTGACAAACGAACCGGTCGAATTGCTGTAGCAAATTGGCCAAAAGTTGTTACAATCTTACAACAATTCAATCCTAATTCAGCAACAGATGATGAGAAAAAACGTTAAAAATATTATCATGTACTAAAACTGTTGTATTCCGGTAATTTTCTTTTTTGACCCATCATAAAAAAAACTTTCTTTAACATATATATAAAATAAGAACGAATAAAAATTTTAATAATTATTTTATTGAATAAATATTTTGTTAACAATGATACAACAGAACAAAAAAAAGATTAAATAACAACTAGAATAAATTATTTTAGTATTAAATATATCAAAAAAAAAGAAAATGAATCGAAATATTCATTTATAATGAGTATAAAAAGATTTAAATAGGTTATTTTTTTTTATCATTCTCTTCAATTAGCAGTAATACTTTATGATAATGATGCTATCATATTTGGTTTAACTAAAACTCGACTATATTGTTTTTTGGTAGCAACATCCATAGCATATGGTAAATCAGATAAATCATATGTTGGTCCCATAAGTTCTTCATATGGATATTTGTTAATTGTTTTATCAAGAAATTGAACAGCTTGATCAAGATGACGTGGTGCATAATTATGAATACCTAATGTATAGAGAACAATTATTTTAATTTGTTAAGTTTTATTTTCATATCTACCTTTAATTGTCAAACATTTACGAACAATTTGTTCTCCAGTAATATTTAATTTCGAATGTGGATGAACCATACCAAGAAAAAGATACAATCCACCAGGTTTCAACATACGAAAACCATCATTAACAACATCAGGCATTCCACATACCTAAAACAACGATATATAGCATAAGTTTGTTTATTCTGGAAATAAAAGCAGTTTCAGACAAAAATATAAAAAAAGACCTACTTCAACAACAACATCAATTTTGTTTGCTTCATCCACAAGTATTTCGTCTAGAAAAATATATGAATATAATAACTTATTTTAGAAAAATAAATATGACAGACGTGCATTTAATTTTAGCTAAATATATCCATGTAAGTGCTATTCTCTGTTTAAATAGATTTATAATTACAAAGCATTCTTTTTCGATATAGCAAGCTATGAGGTAAGTGCAAAAATTAAAGTAATCACAAGGGATAAAATATATATGACAAATATTTTTAATTTTAAAAAATTTTTTGTATCGTACTTTGCTTTTCTAAATGAAAAAAAAGCAAAAAAAAGAATAATAACCATAAATTAAAGAAAACATGCAAATGATTTTTCCATTTAAGCGTGTAAAAATCATATTGATCAGAAAAAATTAGGAAATGAAATTATTTACCATTATAAATTGGAATTGCACCAAAACGATCTATAAATTTTGAACGTTGAAGACGCATTCCTGAACAATAAACTGTTTCAAAACCATATTCACGAAGAGCAGCTGATGTATATAAACCAAGTATTCCATCACCCTTTTGTTTTCAAAAATAAAAATAATTTAGATTATGAAAATATAATCTTCATATCTTTGAATAGATTATAGAAGGATTAAGTCATTTTTCTGTAGATAGAAAAGCAGGATATATAATCTATAGTTTATTAAATATTGAGTTCGAACTATAACAATAGCTGAATAAAGGTCAGTATTTTTCTTAGCTTAAATGTCGATGCATACCAAAGAATTCTAATGAGAAAAAATGTTGACTTTTTGTTTCGATAGAAATTAGGTAAAAAATAAAATTATGCGCATGTTTCATTATATGTAATAGAATTTACATACTACACTACAGTGATAATCAATTATAAGCGTAAAAGAACTCTACATGATTTTAATTATCATCTGCTAGAGAAATGAGAAATTAAATTACTGTTAGAAATTAGAAATTATTAACTATGTTAATTACTATAACATGCACTTCATGTCAAATATGATACACATACGGAATATATTAAAAATATTTGCTTCTTTATATCTGTATGAACTGAAAATTTTCATTTTTATGAAAAAATTAACAAATAGAGTTTTGATGGTAAATGGAAAATAAATCTACCTGAACAAAAGCTCGTCCATTTTTTATTTTTGGTACATATTCCATAGCACACATTGTTGTTGCCAGTGAACAATTAATTGGTGCTGCACATCGATCTGATATAGTATCAGGTATTTTTACAACATGTGTTCCACGTCGAAGAATAATATGTGTTGCATAACATCCATTATATCCTGAACCATTATTTAATTCTGCATGACCATACTAGATAAAAAAATAATTAAATATATATTAATTTGTTTTCTTTTCATACTTTAAATAATTTAACACATTTTTGATTAAGTCCTTTCAAACAAAATTCACATTTGCCACAACAATCAGCTACAGAAAACGTTAAACGATCACCTATTGCTAAATCACTTTCAGGTCGACGATGAGCAACAACTTCAACAACTGCTTCATGACCAAGTACACTTAAAATACAATGAAATTATTTAAAATAATCTATGAAAAGTAAAATAAAATACCTTGGTGTCGGCTCAATACGATGACCTGTAATTGTATGTACATCACTCATACAGATCGATGCTAAACGAACCTTTAATTAATAATGAAAAATAATCGTTGATATACAAATAATTCGTATTTTACTTTCACAAGAATTTCTCCTGGACCGATTTCTGGTAAAAATCCAGTTTGAGCAGCAAACATTGTTTTAGAATCAATACCATTAAACACAGTACGTACGCCTGAGACTGGATATATATTTTTGTCATGGATTGCTCTTTCTTGTACCTGAGAGGAACTTAACGATCGACAAATCTATAAAGGTGTAGTTTTTAAATATAAGTAAAAATATTTATTTAGTTGTATTTACATGAGATTTTCTATGATTGAATAATCGAAAAAGAGTTCTGTACACCTTCATCGATTGTACTGAGATTGAGACTGAGTCTCAAAACAATATAAATCTACTCAATCAATTAGTCGATGCTATCAGCACAATATCAATATCACTTAAAAAACAAGCGTATTAAATAGTTACTCGATAGAGGTCATTCTATGAACAATTTGATATATTTTAATGGTATATGTTTATAACGAATAGCAATTTGAGAAAAATAGATAAGACCATAGTACAATATATATCTCTACTCTGCTGTGAATTCTCCATAAAATAAGTAACAAAATGTAATTTCAAAAAATAATGGGACTTTCGAGACTAATATACTTTTTATTTTTTTTCGAATTTTTTTAACAACATATGAAATCGATATGAGTAAGACTTTAGAAAGAGAACTGAGTACTAGTGGCAATTGAAAGTCTATCAAAATTCGTTAAAATTATTCTTGAAAAGTGTATTTTCATTAGCGTAGGAAATTTATTCAATATCTTATGTTCATATCTTTTGATCCTTGACATCATGAAAATTGTTAAAAAAACGGGTGAAGACCGGTCGGTTCGGTTTCAAGTATGATGTGCATTCGTAGATGTTACCTAGAAATTGGTCTTTATTTTAAAGGAACATTGTACTGAACAAAAAAAAATAAATGTACTTTCACTAATATTGGATCAAAAGACAAAAATAGACAAATGTACTTTTATCAACATGAGATCAAAAGACACAAAAGATAAATGTACTTTTATCAGTATCAGATCAAAAGACCAAAATAATGTGTGATTAATAGTAAATGACGTTAATCTTATACCTTTTCATTTTCGAAGAGAGACACAACATTTGTTATTGTAGATAAGATTAATGACTCATAAATGTATATGTCGTTGTTATTTTTTCGGGAAAATATTGCAATATATTTTTAAACAATTGCAAAACCTTAGTGGGCAGATAACATTTTTTGTTCTTTATTTAATCAGCGAACAACTAAAACTAAATATTCTAGTAATTAAAGAAGAATATCTATCACAGTATTACAAACTTTACATCCCGAATTGAATTAAATCTTATTGATCAGAAATAATTGTAACATTGAAAACGTTTTCTAAATATCACTATGATAGATATTTCTAATTTATTTTCACTGAATTCATCGTTGATGGTAAATAATTATCTTATATATAATTTATTTTTGAATGACAATCTAGTATAATTATAAGAAAGAAAGTGTGTATTAATATCATTCTTTATTAATCTGCCGATTAATAGAAAATTGTGCAACTTTTATTATTTTCGTCTGCTAATCGATTGAGGGCGGGTGTGTTGTTTAACAAGCAAGAAGGAACTAACAAAACACAGTGTCTCAGTATCGAAAACTAGTTAAATAAGTGCGATTATAATTAATTATAAAGATTAATAAGATAATTGTTTTTTTTTGATCAGTTTCACTTTATTTATTAATGGAGATCATCAGGAGGTAACAATCACTAGAAAAAAGTCCATAAAAAATGGGAAAATGCACTTAGAAGAGTAAGAAAAATGATGATGATGGGGTAGAGAGAGAGAAAGAGAGGAAAAAATACAGCAGTCTTGAAGGTGATGATGAAGATCATTTGTTGTCGAGTAGTAGTGATTCTTCGATATTGTCACTGTTGATAATAAGTGGTGGCAAGTCTCCCAAAGAGATTGTTGAACTATTGACTGTTGAAAACTGACTAAGGAAATTATCTGCTAAAGCATCGGTATGAATTGATGATAATGGTGATCATGGTGCTTCATCAGGATCAAAGCAAGAGAAGAACGTTTTTTTGTTTCAGCTTCTTTGCTGCTTTCTTTTTATTTTTTGAAGACTTCTTGTTCTTATTGAAAGATGGACCTTGTCCTGTAAGACCAGCCTCAGCTAATGTGGAAGAATGAGCAGCAGAATCTTGTGTTCTTCTTTGATTAACATTGTGTTGTTGTTGCTTCTCTTCTGTGTGAATCTTATTTGGGTTCGTATTCATCGATATTCGAGTATCACGAGGTATTCTACCCTAAAGGTATTGGATTCGGATTATCCTTTTGGATGTGCAGTTTTCGATCCAGACCATCAGGTCTGTCATAAGTCTTCGAACGGAATCTTTCTAATCTTACGTTTAACCTTCTCTTGGCATACCGTGCAATTGTTTGTTTCACCGATGAAAATTGATTGATATAAAAGTATTCACCAAATGGAATCCATATAGCTAGTTCTTTCTTTTG